TGTGAAAATGTATCGGTTTTGACAGTTTTATATACGGTTTTCAGTTTTGATCGATTTTTGTTTCGGTTTTGCGGTTTTGGATGATTTTTTTCTACGATTTTGCGGTTTCTAATAGGCTCCAATGCCTCCCTCGTTGAATACAAATAAAATAGTTTCACTCATGAGAACTTGTTTCTTTTCGTAATTAAACGTCTAAATAGTACACTACTTCTGTCATTTACAAGGCACTAAACTCGACACTCTATCCTCCTTAGTAGGTCCCAAAGCTCGATGAATATGTTTGGTTTTCAGTCTATTTCGATATCATTACGTCGATGCTCTGCTCGGGATGCAATAAATCCAAACAAAAATGTATCGGTCCGTAGATATTCCTAGAATTCATTCGTCTTAAAGTGGTGTCCGATATGTACATATACTGCTTCGTACCATTTGGCTATAAGGACTTCAACATGAATTATAAGAACCCGTATATCTTCCGAGTATACATACCAGTATATCGCATGTCACACACAGTATTCATGATGTACAATGGCATTAATACTAAAATATAAGTATACTACTTGTGCATACGGTCCTGGTATTTTCTTAGCATACCCTGACGTGTACTAATCATTCTACGGACCTTACACATCCTAATATCTACCATATACAATAGGGTATACTGACGGTATACGCCCCAAGGAAGGGCGTATACAGAATATTTTATGCAGTGGGAACTCAGTCAAGAATAATTTGCACCACTCCTTCGGATGAGAGAATGCCTGATGTTGCACGAGTAAACGTGTCATTAGCTGACAAATCCGGTGAACTGATTAATTTATCAAACCTAACGCGAAGGTTTTTTGAGGCAACGTATCGTCGCTAGTTGATGTACTTTGTATCTAGGATTACCACTTCCGCTTTCAGAAGAACTTTGTCTGACAACATCAGTTTAAAGGGACACTGTCACGGGTTGACATGCGCACTATCCTACACTCTCTCCGAGACTTGTCACGCTCGACTGCCATTATGTAAATATCGGTGAGTTGAAGAATTCTGCATATATTTTGCATTTAAATCAAGTTTATCCAAAGCAAATGCTCACGAAAACGAATTTCGTTTACTGAGGAACCTTTGGTGATCTTTTGTAAATGTAAAAGTGTTTGTAAGACGAAGCGCAAAGAAAATAGTTCTTGTGGGTGCGCGTGCAAAAGGAGAAACGTGCTATGTACAGATGAATGTAAATGTGGAACAAGCAATAAACCTCGCAGAAACAGGGTATGCATATAAAGTTGAATACATGCATATAAAGTTGTATACATTCACTTCTTTTGTGGCTTGAATGTCCAAACAGTGTACGAAATAATTTGTGTATTCCATCTCTTCAGGATTCGAACGAGCAGTCATCATCTGCCTACATTTATGAGATCCGTAGAGTTCGCCCGAGGTTTACCTGTATTCCAATTATAATGTGTAGTAGAATAAACATCTGCCTTGCAAATACTACAAATGTCTGTGATATCTGGCATTATTTTGTTTCCCCATCAGTAAAATTGCTGTCACTAAAAAACTCTACCTGTATCAAATTTTGCCTGCAGCCACGACTTAAATGTCTTTTCTTCCACATGAATACGCTTATGGTTTCTCAGCGACACTTTCTTGTATTCCCCTCTGTCTTCAACCTTTCGTTTCCGCCCTGAGTTGATGCGTTTACCGCCATGTCCGCATCCTTAGCTAGACGCCATCTTGAATTTGTGAATGTAACTTGAAAAAGTCAGGATGACTTTTTAAAGTTTCGATCAGCTACACGAGCATGCGCAGACCATGACCATGTCCCTTTAATCCTTCATTCGCTTTTGTTAAAAGAACTTTCATCAACCATTTTGAAGAGTCTGTACTTACCATTTCAAATTTTATATGTCAGCCACATGATCACCGCCCGCTTCAAAAAGAAGGAAAAGTTGAGACAAACCAACTCAGAGTCTACCTCAACAACCTCGTTTGCTGTATCCCATCAATCCCTAGGGCTTGTAACACAGGGAAGCAATATATGCTAATTGTTCTTTGGCTTTCAATTAAAACAGCGAAATAAATCCTTTCTGATCGATTTTCGCATCATTTCATTAGATGTCGAACTTGCATGAAGCGGTCACCTACGGTGAATGGCCATTTGATATAGGTTGACCGTTTAAAACCCTATCCGGGCAGCACCTCCATTTCATAGGTGTAATTACACCTATGACTTCCGCCGGCTCGAAATAATATTGCGTTACTTCCGATTTCCTCCAAATTTGGTGTGTATGACGTTGAAAAATTAAAAAAATCACGTAACAAGTTTGGAGGTAGACGTTTGAATGTAACGTCCACAACGCTCATTTCAAATTTCAAGTTTCAGCCGTGAAGAAGGCATTGTCCTCCGAGCGAGCGATTGTGAGTAATATCTCCTTCGAAACGATACTGGAAGAGCTATTTAATGCTAAAAACTTGGTTAGCTCAATGGATAGAGCGCTGGACTGTTGTGCGGGAGGTCGAGGGTTCGAGCCCCGAACGGACCAACACTCAGGGTCTTAAAATAATTGAGAAGAATTTGCTACCTTTCTATAACATCAAGAAATGGTTAGATATTCTAGTCTTCTCGGATAGGGACGAATAAATGGAGGTCCCGTCTCCTGCAGGGCTAGGGGTAGGAGACGTTAATTTCCCACACATGAGATTACTGTGTGATGGATGTCCTCCCCTGGGGTGGGATGGGTGGGAGGGTGGACTGGCACGAATGGTTCCTATGTTCCTTTCTAGTCCTTCCCCACTGCAAAACTTAATGCAGTGAAAACGGACAAAATTAAATTAAATTAATTAAATTAAAAACTTCGCTTATGGGATGGAAAGTGGATACGAAAGCGATTTGGACCGGTAGCTAGCAAATGAGAGTGGAGAATCGAGGTAAGATGTCGAAATCGTCATTGCGAAATCGTCGCTATCGACCGCGTGGTCTTGAAATTCGAAGTTCTTCGCCTCAGTCTGTCCTTTTCTGTTTGATTACTCGCTCAGCTCTTCGAATTTGATTTAAAATTGCTTTACGAGACTCCAATGAACAGTAATTTACGCCAAGAACATGTTTTGTAGTGATAAATGCGAAGCGATGCGAAGTGTGCGCGTGGGGAAGAGCCCCATACCCATGGGGCGTGATCCATTCAACCAAAATTTCCAGAAATTTCGGTCTAAAACTGAATGGATCGGTTCGGTCCAACCGGAAAAGTTTCGAAAAAACTGGCCCACCTTTCGAGGTGGACCACTTTTCTCGGTTGGATCGGTCCTCTTGGCCCGGAAATTTTGGTTGAATGGATTGCGCCCATGGAATGGAATTTGGTCAACCTCTTTTTGTTTGGTTTTCACGTGACTGACCGAGCGTACGTACGTGCCTTCAGATTGCACGGGTAGGGGAGACTATCAAAACGAAGGGAGGAGTGTCTCAGGCGAGTCTTGGCAAATGCACATCTTTTATGTTATCATTAATATTACGAACTTGGTCAGTGCGCTGGACTCTGGGTCAGTTGGCCCGGGTTCAAGTCCTGGCTGGGGAATGACGTAAATTTCCCATGCTCGAGATTACTGTTTAGTGGATGTCCTTCCCAGGGTAGGATGGGTGGGAAGGTAAGATCGCTACATGGACTGAAGCGGCCGCCAGAGGCACCTGATAAAAATGCTGACGTCTGATCTCAACCTTACAATACTGTTAAGCGCGACTGAATATATCCACATAAAAGCCTGCGCTATATAAATGTAAAAATGTAAAATGTAAATCTGCATATTTTCGAATGATGTGGGCGCAAATAAAAATTCGTAAAAAAATTAATATTTATTGTTTTTTCTTTCAAATATTCAGGACATATTGCTTACATGTTAATGATCAATTTGTGCTGTTAAATAATCTACCATAGCCTGTGCCAATGAGGATAAGTGACTTTTACCTCGAGTTTTGCGTTATTACTTTGCTTATTTTGTGTTTTAAATTTATTTTTTTCAGGAAAGTCCTTGGTTTGAGTTATAAAATTGACATATTCCTGAGAAGCTCATTTTATACACTTTAAAATGAAATATTGTAGGCGTTATTGCTGTAAACATTTGTTGAGATATTAGATGAAAACTGCATGTCATCAATAGTTGCGTGTTTTCGCCGGTCGGCTACCAACGCCTCAAACGAGTTTTAATGAGGCGTTAAAAGTGGTTCCACAGATTAGGGGTAACATAATAAAAAGATAAACAACGCCACTTTAAGTCGTATTCGACCAATTAATGTACAGAATCTCGCTCAGTAATACTACTTACTTTGATTTTGGAAGAGAAACATGGATTAAAAATTACCTGAAGTTTATTCTTGGTTTTATTTGAGCTTTCGTTGACCTCTTAAGACAGGTAGAGGACAATAAAAAAAACAGGCCATTGGGACTTATATTCTCCTCATATGTAGGAAATACTATATGCACTCATTTGAAACATCAAATGAATAATGAAACGAAACTTACATTTCAACAGAGCTTATTTCGAAGAAAATTGTTTCTTTGAATTTAATCTATCCACCGGTTAAAGTTTATTGTTGTTACTTCAAGTTCATTGCGAATATTTATCCTCTTTTTTTCCGAGGAGGAATGGGTACTTGCATCGACACGATCAATTTCAAAGCTATTCCGTAGAGAAAAGTTCGTTTACTAGATATAATTAATCAATTGCGAGTACGACGAATATCAAAATTCCCGGATAAATTTAAAGGTTTTTTGATCTTATGTCCAGAGCACATTCAAATGCCATTGGCCTATTGCATCCAGGTCACTCTGCACATGAACCACGGTAACTAGTTGGAATGTTCATGTATTAACAAACACAGGTCTAAGGTTTTTCAACTCAATTCTAAACGATGGCTTTATGTAAAACTCGTTAGTCAGTCGAAGGTCTCTCAAGTTACGCAATGTTTTACTCAGATGATATACGCGTACGTATTTGCAGCACGGTCGGATCAACTAGTCCTACTGCACAGAGCACTTTCCTTTTTTCTCCAATATTTCCTGAACAGAAACCAAGCTATGCTCATTATTCACAGTATTTGCATGCTCGGGTCCAAGCTTCTCCTTATTAATCGTCAAGGCATGTTCGAACAGCTTTTTGGCTTGTGTCAAATTATTCCTGGCTTGGTGCAGGTTAGCTATACTACAATATACTTCGCCAAGGCTCTGACAGGTACGCGCAACTTTAACATCTTTGGGTCCAATCCTTCTGCTGTAAATGCCCAGAGCTCGTTCCAAATGTTCTTTGGCTTGTTTCAGGTCACCTAACATATAGTGTACTTTGCCAAGGCCTTCGTAGGTTTTCGCAACATCAACATGTTCGGATCCAATAATTCTCTTGTAAATACCTAGAGCATGTTCAAAACATTTTTTGGCTCGTTGCAGGTCACGTAAGTTATAGTACGCTTTGCCAAGGAACTTGTAGATAAACCCAACGTCAACATGTTCTGATCCAAGCCCTCTCTTGCAAATGTCTTTAACAAGTTCAGTACATTCACTGGTTTGTTCCTGGTCATCTAACCAATCGTATACATAGGCAAGGCCTATGTAGGTGAGCGCAAGGTCAACATGTCGGGATCCAGGCTTTCTCTTGTAAATGCCTAGAGCGTGTTCAAAACATTCTTTAGCTTGTTGCAGGTCACCTAACTCATGGTGTACTTTGCCTAGGCCTTGGTAGGTACGCGCAACTTCAACATGTTCGGATCCAATCCTTCTCTTGTAAATGCCTAGAGCATGTTCAAAGCGTTCTTTGGCTTGTTTCAGGTCACCTAACTTACATTGCACTTTGCCAAGGTTTTGGTGGGTACGCGCAACGTCAACATGTTCGGATCTAAGCCCCCTGTTGTAAATTTCTAAAGCATGTTGACAATGTTCTTTGGCTTGTTTATAGTGATGCATATCGTACAGTAAATCACTCAAGTTGACATAGGTACGCGCGACAGCAATATGCTCGGGTCCAAGGCTTCTCTGCTTAATCTCTAACGCATCTGTACAAAGCTTCCTGGCACGTGGCAAGTTACCCAAGGCGCGCTGTATATTTCCCAAGTCTTCATAACAACTGGCAACTTCAACATGGTCGGGTCCAAGATCTTTCGTGAAAATGTTGAGAGCACAATGAAGAGACTCCATGGCCAGTTGCAGTTCACCCAACTCACGCTGTACAATACCCAGGTTTAGGTAAGTATGTGCGACATTGACAAGCCTACTTCCAGGCTCTGTCTTGAAAATGTCGAGGGCACCATCAAGATACTCCTTGGCTTGCTGCAGGTTATCAAACTCACACTGTACAATACCTAGGCTTAGGTAAGTATGAGCGACATTGACATGCCTATTTCCAAGCTCTGTCTTGAAAATTATGAGGGAAAGATCAAGATACTCCTTGGCCTGTTTCAGGTTACCAAACTCACGGTGTACAATACCTAGGTTTAGGTAAGTATGTGCGACATTGACATGCCCACTTCCAGGCTCTATCTTGAAAATGTCGAGAGCACGATCGAGAAACTTCGTGGCCTGTTGCAGGTTACCCAACTCACGCTGTACCATACCAAGGTTTAGGTACGTAGGTGCGACATCAGCATGGTCAGTTTCACATATTTTCTCGTAAATTGTGACAGCATCATCAAAATGTGTCAAAGCCTGCTGCAGGTTACCCATTTCACGCTGTGCAATACCCAGGCTGTGATAAATGGACGCGACAAGAACATGGTCGGTTCCACACTTTTTCTTGCAAATTTCTAGAGCAAGTTGAAAGTGCTCACTAGCCTGTTTCAAGTCAACCAATTCAAGCAGTGCATTACCCAGGTTATGATGACTAATAGCAACATTAATATCCTCGGGTCCAAGCTTCTCCACGTAAATGGCTATGGAAAGTCCAAGAAATTCTATGGCTTCCTTCAGGTCACCCATGGACCGTCTCAATTTACCTAATCTTTGATAAATTCTGGCACTATTTGCAACAGTGTCACAGACTGGTTCAACGAGTTTCAGAGCTGTGCGATAGTAATTTTCAGCACAAGATAATTCGCAGTGATTCTCGCAAATTATGCCGAACCGGTGGAAACATGATGACCAATCTGAAACATTTAAAACGCCCACTCTGAAAATTCGGCATTCCTCTTTGAAAACCTGCTCGACCTTTATGGCTAAGGCTTTCAAGTGTGAAATGAGGTGCTTGCTTTCAGAAACAGAATCAATGGCATACCAAGTGTTTAATGGCTGAGCTTCCACGAACTGGTTAAATGATTTCACAGCAGCACAAACTGTTTGAGCGCATTCATGAGGCTCTTTGTGACTGAGTTCAGATGTAATGGCGTCACGCACAACTCGGTGCATACCAATAAAAACTCCATTGTTCCTTTTTTCCACCAACAGTAGTGAGTATCCTTGGATTTGAATGGCAACACCTTCTTTGTCAGCATGTTCATCCACATTTGAAACATAATTTTTGACGATGTCGAGATGCAATGCTTCAGGAGCGCAGAGGGAGAGGAGAATAAACGAATTCTTCACTAAGCCGTCATTGTTTATCGCTCTTTCAACGGCCAGCCTTGTTGCTACCGTCATGGATTTGCTGTAGGCTGGGTTGGTCTTTCTCAGTACCTCTTCGGTTAAGGCTCGCATTCCATTTTCTAGCTTTTCTAAATACTCCTTCCAGCCGAAGTTCGCCGCCCAATCGCACTCACGAATCTTGCTGACATAAGTGCCTGCGCTAGCCAAAGCAAGAGGTTGGTAATCTAAAGCTTTTGCAACTTTATCTTCCATTTCATGGTCCTGGAAACCTGTAAGATTGGCCAGAAAGCGCCGTGCTTCGATTGGCTTCATACCCTTACTGATGGAAAAGTGAGAAATAAACGAAAATGTAGTAGGGATAGATGGATAGATGGCTCCATTGCCTATTTCCTGATTGAGGAAGAAGTTTAAGTGTATCAGAGACATTTGTTACGTTGTCTACTACAACAAGCCATGATTCAAAAACGGGAATTTTTCTTGCAATTAGATCTTTGACATTCGTGATTTTTTCTTCAATGCTCGTCTCCCTGGACCAACGGGTTTCCATAAGGTCGTATTCAGGGCATTTGACCTGTCGCGCAAATGTAACGTAGGATTCCAAAAGTGTTTGTAAACTTTCAGCGTTCAAACTAATCACAAAAGAGGGCGAACTAGTCTTCCAGTTGACTTTGTTATAGAATTTCTCAGCCACTAGGCCAGCCAGCTGAGATTTACCACTCCCGGGATTACCAGTGATGTATAAGTAGCTTAGACGATTCTGGTTTGCTCTCTTTAGTTGATCTAGCTTTTCTGTTATTTCGGCAACCTCACCATCCCTTGTTGCAACTTCGTGGTTTGGTTCTGGTGGAAGAATGAGGAACGGGGAGACATCATCCTTTAACTGATCTTCAAGGACCTCTAGCTGTTCTTCTAAAATTTCCAGTTGTTCCTCAACCTGCTGGCGCTGTTCTTCTGAAATTTTTAGTTGTTCCTCAACTAGCTGGCGCTCTTTGTCTGATTTTTCCAGTTGTTTTTTAGACTGTTGGCAGACCTTTTCCAGTGTTTCTAGTTTGACTTTTGTTTCTTCGAGCTCTTTGTAAAGATCGTGACGTTTCTTTAGACTTTCAATTTCTTTAGTCTGGAAGCTTTCCTGTCTACTGATTTCCTGAACTTGTTCAGTAGGGAGATCGAGTGACTCAAATGCAACCTTCACCCTTTGAACTGCAAGTTTAAACTCTAATTCCGACAGCTGACCCCAAGGCGCATGAGCAAACTTTTCGTTTCGAAACTCATTAAGATCCTCGAGACTACAATTAACTGTTGCACATAATTTACGACCGATAGAATCGCAGCGAAGGATTGCAAAGAATAGCGTTGTGCAATCCCACTGTGCTCTATTTCCCTCTCTTACTTTTGGCATTAGTCGATTCTTTCGGCTTTGGGTAGTTTCCTTGTTGTAGAAGTGTTGTCCATCACAAGGTGTATCTTTCCATTCTCCCAAGGTTGCCTGGTAAAGTCTGTCCCACTCATGTTTGAATATTGATCGCAGCCCTTCTGGCAGGATATTAGTTACTATATGACAAACTCTGAAGTAGTTAAGCTGCTCTTTGCTGTACACAAGGGTGGCCATTTTCTCTTTGTCTTTGCACTGTTCAGGATCTTTAACCTGTTTCAAACATGTCAAATGAGTTTAAGGATTCCTTTTAAACTCTCAAACATTTACCTGGTACGTAAGAGTAGCTATCTTTTATCTCAGTAAATACTGCATACTTATCGTCGCAAAGCCGAATTGGAATAGTCAGGGCTGCCAATCCTCTCACTCATCACCTCACGGGTTTATTACGAACCAACATAATGACCAGTTCCCAGTAAGCTTGTTCGCTCAGTTGGTAGAGCACTGCACCGGTATCGCACTAGTCATGGGTTCGAATCTCGTACAGGCCTGAACTTTTGTCATGCCTTATTTTCACTACTGCTTCAGTAGTGTTCTTTACTGCGAAGATCGCTCTCATACGCATCCCTTTAACCGCAGTTCAAATATATGATTTACATATATTCACAAATCCTCTCACTGTCTTGAGACATATCTGATTGCCCGCACACATCGTGTAATGTGTGTGGTGTCCTTCATGTTTATTTCCTTTTGAAAATGACCACGCGTCAATAGGCCATTTTACAGTTGTGTACTTAGTTGCCAAGCCTTTGATCTGGAGTGAGGCTGAAGGTGACCTTGTTGTGATAGAGACTAGTATCTAGTTAGGATGATAACCAAGTAATTTAGATTCGTAAAACACTAATGTTTGTATCATATCAAGGTCACCTCAGCATCACCCCTGTTCAGAGGCTTGGCAACCAAGCACTTAACTGTAAAATGGACTATTCATATCGGAAGAAAATCTTCAACATCCATTTTTTCAACTGAACTTAAACTGCTTAATGATAGGTTTTTGAGAGGGTTGTCCGTGCCAGAGAAATACAAACGTCGACAATTACGGACGCTTGCAATATTTCCAAAATTTACTGCGCATTGCTAATCGCGTGACTACAGTTGTAAAACAATAGTCTCATAGCGTAATGTAAATAAAGGGAAATCATGCCTACTACCGTTAGGGCGACTACTGTTGTAGTGAAACTGTTGTTTCGTTATGTAAAGATTGTGATGCATGTCTGCATCACAAGTGAATAAAGGGTGGGTAAGTTTCTAAAGAAACTTTAGTGCTGCGTCGGCGCAAGTGTATAAAAAGGCAATTTTGGTTTTAGCAACTGAGTTGATGATGTAAATTGGCCACTATAAAGAGTTTCAAAGCTGACGCTTCGAGCGCTTATCCCTTGGCCAGAGCGTTAGCCCTTCGTCATGTGATTGAGCGTTGTGCTGTCTCAAAGACGGGTGGGGGAGGAGAAAGTGAAAGCTTATCTCAGTCAAAGCTTGACAAAGCTGGAACCTTTAGTCACAGCGTTAGCCCTTAGTCATTTGATTGATTGTTGTGCTGTCTCAAATTCAGGAGGGAGCGAAGAAAGTGAAAGCTTATTTCAGTCACAGCTTGACAAAGCCTGAACCCTTAGTCACAGCGTAAGCTCTCACTCGTGTGATTGATTGTTGTGCTGTCTCAAATACAGGAGTGAGAGAAGAAAGTGAAAGCTTATTTCAGTCACAGCTTGACGAAGCCGGAGCGTCTTTACTGCGTAACGAGAAAAGAATCAGTGGTTGTAATGGCGGTTGTCAGGCATTTCCACCACTACTTCCATGGACAACGCTTCAAAGTCAGAACAGACAATGGGACACTCAGATGGCTGAGGAATTTCCGAAATCCAGATGGTCATATTAAACCATGGTAACACAGAAGTAGTATAGTGATTGAGTGGTATAGACCATCAACCCTAGGGCCTAAAAATCTGAAATAATCCATGAAAAATATATAACTCTAATCTGTAAAACTGATCTGTAAAAAAATGATCTGGAATAAATCTGTAAACTGATATGACAAAATCCTGAAATTTTTAAACTTTATGGAAAAATTAAAATCATAAAACAGACTCAAAATGGCTTCTTGTTAATCTTGTTTTCAAATTAAAACGCTTAAATTTTTTAAAAGTGCTTAAAGAAAAATTAAGTATGAAAATTAATAATGTGTAATTCTAAATAAAAAATATTTAAATATAGTATGAATAAAAAAAAATAATCAAAAATTTTATAAAGTACTTAAAGAAAAAACACGTAATAAAATTATGGAGAGTGATTCCAGATCAAAAAAAAATATTTACATATAGTATAAATAATATGAATAGACAAAATTTAGAAAATCTATCGAGAGAGCAACTTAGTAAATACCAAAAGATGTTATGATTCAAATTATTTTAAATGAAAATCAATCACCAATCAATCAACAAAGACAAAAAAGTGTAAAACAGATGGCTAAAAAATATGAAGAAAAAAATATCAAACAACAAATCATAGAACCTCCTATCATTCCAATTAATAAACCAAAAATAAAAACAAGCGTGTGGGGATTGTCAGAGATGATAAACAAATATGACAAAAACATTATTAAACCTCCAGTGCCTAAACCGAGAACTAAAAAACCTGTTCCTCTAAAAAGAACAATAATTAATGAAACAAATAGAGCCTTGAAAGGATTCACAAGATCTTATGAAATTAATATTAAAGATGAAAAAGATCCATTAATTCAAATGCTAAACACAAGATTATTTATAAGAAGATTTATTGAAAAAGAATTAAAAGAAATGAAAGGAATGAAATTAGTTAAATCATTAAAAATAACGTTCGAAAAAATTAATGTTGAGGGGGAGCAACAAATTAAAGAAGTATATTTCAACAGCAAACCTCAAACAGTAATAAATGAAATAAATATAGAAGAGTCTGCAATTAACAGAGCAAGAATTATTAAATAAAATAGCACAATGGATTTCAGAAGGATCTGGTTGGATTATTGATTCAGTTAATAATCATTATTTAAATTTCAATTATTATAATCCAACAAAAGGTTCATCTTATATTGAACTACCGCCAGAATTAAAGAATCCAAAAAAGGGTTTGATTGATTTACAAAATAAAGATAATGAATGCTTTCGTTGGTGTCATATTAGACATTTAAATCCACAAGATAAGTATCCTCAGAGCATTAAAAAAGTTGATAAAAAGTTCGTTGAAAAATTAAATTATTCAGGAATTGAATTTCTAGTCAATCTTAGTCAAATAAATAAAATACAAAAGCAAAATAACGTAAACATGAATGTATTTGGATATGACAATCAACAAAGATATCCACTTTACGTTAGCAAAGAAAGAAATGGAGATAATTTGAATCTTTTATTGATAACAAATGAACATGATTCACATTATGTTTTAATAAAAGATTTTAATAGATTTATGCATAATATAACAAAACATAATTTTTGTTATTATTGTTTTCAATGTTTCAGTTCTGAAAGAGTTTTAAATAATCATAAAGACAATTGTCTTGTTATAAATGGTGCCTGTAGTCACGGCGCCTTGCCTTTGTTTTACATTCACGTCCTTTGTACATTGTTTTTCATTTTCAGTTATTCGGTGTATATTTGTTATTTTATCAGGTTTGCCAGTCATTTAGGTTACGTCACAATTCATATTTTCGTGTTCATTTTTTATGCATTGTTTCTATTGTTTGGTAGAGCTTCTTCTGCCGTAGTTTTCTTGTCGTCGTTGTCATTATGTTTTAGTCGTCGTAGTCGTTACATAATCTTGTAAGTTTCGTTATTTTGTCCGTCATTTTGCCTGTTTTATTTGTATTTCCTTTTGCTTTTCTGTTCTGCATATTTAACTTGTTCATGTATAT